TATATATCAGAGGCATTCATCACTCCTGGATCTTTCCAAAAGCTTCTAACTCCCAGGAATGTCCAGTAACTACTTTACTAAAGGTATATCCATCACCAACCAAAATACAAGCCCTTGATGGAACAAAAGCCCTTCTTTTTTCTTTCAGAAGAGAAATTCATTGCAGGAATGTATTTTTAAATGCCTACATAACATACCCAAGAATAGTCACATCTTTATGAGGACAAGTAGATCACTCACAATAAACACTGAGTTAGCCCAAATGAATTACTTTCTTTATAGAGTTTATTTTAATATAGATTTTAATGAAAATGAGATTTTCTTAAACTAATGTGATGTGTAAACCTCACAAAGTTCAACAAAGGGATAGTGCCAAGTCTTGTCCCTGAGGATGAACAGCCCCATGCACTGGGGCGGGCTGGAGCCAACCGGCAGGAAAGGCCCTGAGGGTCCTGGTGGACACCACCATGAGCCAGCAATGAGCCCTTGGGGCAAAGGCCACCGACAGCCTCCTGGGCTGCACTTGGTGTGGCATCACCAGCAGACGGAAGGAGATGATCCTTGCCCTCTGCTCAGCCCTGGCGAGAGCCACATCTGAAGCACCGGGTCCAGTTCTGGGTTCCCCAGTACAGGTGAGACAGGGGCAAACTGGAAGGGGTCCAGGGAAGGGCCACAGAGGTAACCAAAGGTTTGGAGCACCTGACATACAAGCAGAGGCTGAGAGAGGTGGAAAAGAGAAGGGTCTGGGGAATCCCACCAGCATGTATAAGCACTGATGGGGAGGGGGATGGGAGAGAGGAGATGATGGAGCCTGGCATTTCACAGCAGTGCCCAGTAACAGGACAAAAGGCAACAGACCAACAGACAACCCTTTTTTACGATGAAGACAGTCAAACACTGGAACAGGCTGCCCAGAGCATCTGTGAAACCTCTTGCAGATACTCAAAACGTGTCTGCGCACAGCCCTCAGCCGCTGTTCCAGCTGTCCCTGCTTTGAGGCTGAACAGGACAATCTCCAGAGGTCCCTGACAACCTCAGCTGTTCTGTGTACGCAGTACTATCTATACTGCGCTGTTAGATCATAGGGAGAGACAAAGAGACAGAATTCATTCATCTCTACATACCCCACGTGATAAGTGATGGCTCATCAGCTGCACAAGCAACACCATGCGCCCGCTCCTCTGCCCTTCCCTCCCTCGCCCCGCTGCACTCCACGCTCTCGCTTCCCCCTCCGAGAAGCGCGTGTTCTCATTTCATAACCGCTGCAAGTTGGAGCCATTTAAACAACAGACCATCTCCCGCTCCTCCTGTCCTAAGGTAGGATCCTGCCAAAATGAGCTACTAGCAAACCTTTCATCGCCAAGTGCTTTCAGCCACGGAGTTACATGCACTTATGAATTCTGGGAAGCCAGGGCTCGGGATAATGCATATTCTGTGATAGTTAGCAGAGCATTAAAACAGAGGAGAGTTATTGCAACATAACTGAGCTCCCCTATACCAAATGCAGGCTACTTCTCTGTGGTGTTCTTCGCCTCACTTCTTAATGTTAGTTTCTTCCTTCTTTTGCTTCTTTTTACTTGTTCAAGGGATTCTTTTTCTTTGCCTAGCTATTTGCTTTACAGTCACCTTAGTCTTCACAAACTTGCTTGACAGAAGTTATCTCCTGTAGTTAATTCTATTTCCTACTTTTCCTGAATTAGCCTTCATTTTTCTTTTGAAGGATACAAATTATTATTTCTTAAAGTCCACCTATTTAATTATACTGGGGATTCTTTATTACTATTGCCTACCTCTGCCTTTAGTCTTACCTTATGATTAACCAACTGAGAATAAAATCTGCACAGGAAAAGCTCTCAATTCCCATCCACAGGCTCATGGCCTTTAAGCAACTCTTTGCCCTCCGTATTGTCACCCCAGCCCAGCAGCTTCAACTTTACTCATACTGAAGAGCAGCAGACTACTTTTAAGAGCTACACAAAAAGGCACAGAGATTAAACTGTCAGTTGGCTTGTATAAGCTATATACACGTCTGCACATCCAATGCAAAGGTTCATAGAGTTTGGGCATGGGTTTGTTCTGTTTTTAAAAGAACACCAGATCAAAAAAGGCTGAACCTACAGGACTTGTTAGGTCCTGACACATCCCTTGGCACACGGTATTAGTGAGGGAACAGCTTCTCAGCCATTCTTCAACCACCAGTGTGAACACACTACCACTGGTTTGAATCAGTGCATTTTAAAGGCAGATACTGCAAGGAAAGTTAGGTAGCAGAAACTGTTGTGGAGGGCAGAGAAACAAAATTGAAACACTTCTCCCACATGACATTCATAATGCTATGTCACACTTCCAGCCTACATTTCTTTTATTTGAAAGAAAAATCTTTCTGTGCTGAGTATTAATTTTTCCACTCAAAGTATGTTTGCTTTGACAATCTAAATGCTAAATGTTTAATTTGTTACTCAGCTGAGAAAAACAAAGTTCTCCATAGCTACCAACGAGCTGTTATGATAGGATATAACGGCAGCTAGCTTTGTATCATCCAAGCTTCATGCATTGGGTTTGTTGCTGTAACAAGTTAGGATGCATTTGGGAGAAGTTGTGTTCTTTAGAGATACAAGCTTTCCTCACTATTGTAAAACCCAAATACAGTAGTAGTTGCGCTTGTCTGAGATGAAGGGTGTTTAGTCTTTTAGTTCCAAGTCCCATGAAAGAGCACCCACATATGGTTCTCTCCCCGATGTTTAATGAACATTATAAAAAAACCAAAACAGTCAGAAACAACAAAATAAAGTTGTCCTTCTCCATAATTAAGAACTGCCAGGATCTGAGAGTAGAGAAGGAACGATGCATGCTACGGGAAAGGAGTGATTCTCAGCAAAGAGAAGAGATGGGAGAACCACCAGAGTATTCGTGGGTCAGGAAGATTATAGGGAGAAGTCAGGAAAAAGAGGAATAAACCCAGGCTACAAATAACATCAGGCTCATTAATAGAGTGTCAACAGAAACATGAAGTTCAAAGAAATACTTTTGGTCATTTGCTTTTAGTTAGACCCTCTTTCTTAACCAACTCTATTCTCCTGGTTAAAGGACACACACCATACCACATCAATTTTGGCATAGGATTAGTAAAATAGAAAGATGGCCACAACTGAACTGGAAAAGATCTTGTCATCAGTTCTGTTGGCCAGCACACACTAACTGGAAGTATTCTGGGAACAGCGCTTTTTTTTTTTTTTTTGCTTTTTTTTTTTGCAACACTGAAAAAAAAAAAAAAAGCCAAAGAGCCAGTCTCATCACCAAGTGCAGCACCAGCAGTGGGAAGCGGAGCTCTCTGAGGGCTGGAGGAAGCTTCTGCTGTGCCTCCTACTGCGGGCAAACGGTTTCTGTTCCAGGTTACAGCCCCGGGGCGCTGTTAGTAACTCCAGCACTGCAAGCAGATATTTCACATCCAGCTTCTCTCTCCTCTCTACCTTCCTGAGCGTGCCAACTGCTTACCAAGAACTACGTTTTTCTAACCAAAATGGATTTCAACAAACAGCCCATCCACACTGCACCACATTAAGTAAATGACTGCATAAATAGCCACACTTGTTTACTAAAGGTAAAATCTACAATAAACATACCGCAATATTTATTTATACTGGGAAACATTTGGACTTGATGATCTTAAAGGTCTTTTCCAACCCAAACAATTCTATGATTCTATAAGTGTACAGGTTTTCCAGTTACTCTCATCAGAACTGTAATTCTGCAGAAGTCAGAGGCTGAAGTCGCTACCACGTCATATTTTTCAACACCATCAAAACGTTACAGAGAAATAAAACACATTCTTCACAAGATTTCTATTATAGGCGAATCAGTTCACCTTTTAAGAAAATGTATAGTGAAATAGTTAGTTTTAAGTATGTACCTGATATCCTTTTAATTAGAAGGGCCTGATTATGTAAAATTTAAGTAGAGGGAAAAAGAAACAGCCTAACAATTCACGCTTTTGAAAAAACAAATATTCAACTCTTCAGAAGAATATTACAACATTGTCTTAAAAAGTGACATAGAAGCCCCTATCTAAATATGTCAGCAGTTCTCCTAAATAAGTGTATTGATAATCACTTGCAAATTATAGCTAATTAAAAAAAAAACAAACAACACTGCACCTTACAAATCCATTCTAAAGAATTCATCATTATAACACTCAAATTCAGCACAATTCTTGCTCTAAACCACAAAATTACTTCTACATTGAAAATATGAAGCTTTTAAAATTGAAACATGCAACATTCATCGATAATTAAGTAGCTTTTTAGGGAAACAACTTACCTGATTGAGTTTCTGAAGTGGTCCTCAGCAGGATTTTTTACTGTACAACTGTTCAGCAACCATAAATCTGCTTCAGCAGAGTTATCTGGAAGACAGAAAGATACAAATCTGTGTTAAGAATCAGTTAAGAATCCAACCAGTCAACTTCTACTGTATATCATACAAAAACAGTCTAAACAGCCATTATCAATAAGTTGACTATTTGCAAAATTACTTTATATTCAACATTTAAAACAATTACATTCTTGGAAGGGGTTTTCTGTTGCTTTGTGGTTTAGAAACAAAACCAAATATACACATGAGCATTTCCATTGCACTTTTTTTGCAAGGGAAGAATGAACAGTTCTCTCATTTACCAGCTGAGATGCCTCTAGGTTGCATATAATGAAAAACAAAGTTAAGAAAAATGGTCGCTGCTCCCAAAAATGCATACTACCCAGAAAGATCTGGCCTACACAAAGGCAAAAAGATCACCAAAACGCATAAGGGTGCTTTTTAGATTAAGTGGTCAACAAAAGCAGGTTTCACTAGCAAAACCAAATCCCTGCTTCAGCTCTACTGTGAATTAGTACTAGAAAAGAGACAAATCAGAATTTATGAAGCATGAACCTCTACTAAAGAGAAAAGTCAATATAGCTAATTTGGAAAGAAACATGAGTATTTCTAGTTTGGATTATATCTTGGTTATGGTATTATTATAGTTCAGCAATTTTCAGACAGAAGATATTCACGCAACAAGTATCTGCCTCCATTCAGATAAGCATATGATTTTCTTCAAGAACCAAACCTTTTTGTATGTTCACAACCTACTGATACATCTAACTTCATTATCAGAACTGAATCCCAGAATTATCTGTAGAAGCACATATATAAACTCTAATCCTGTAAAACATGACCTATAGTACAAAGTTACTAGCATAGCTACTTTTCTATTTTAAATAAAAGAATGAAGATAATCCATCTCAAGTATTCAAGTGCTCCAGCATTCATCAGAATAGTTTGTATCAGTTTGGATAAGCAAATTTGCACCACTCTTGCTACTATTCAGTCCATCCTGAGTACTGAAGTACTGACCAAGATATCTTCACATGACATAAGCCCATGAACAACATATAGAGCTAAACCATCATTTTTAGGATGCCTTATTTGAACTGACATCCTGCTAAAGCAGAAGAAAGCTTGCAAATATTTAAGCATGTTTACGTGTGCACTCATCACAAATGTATCCACATAGGCATGAATATGCTTTTCCCCCATGCACATATTTATGACTCTAAATGCTAAAAATGAAAAATCTTTCCTACTGTCCCACTGCTGTTTTCCCCAAAGAAACGATCCTTTACAATTAACTATCAGTTACTTCACTTAGTAAGGAGGAAAAATGAAAACACCACATAAAGTAGCAACCGAAGAACCTACTTATGTTAAATAAGAGAAAACATTCAGAAGGTTTCTAATCTTTGCCTATAGAGATGACACCATTAACTTGAATCAAACACTGGCCTCTTCTATGACAGGGAAAGGCTACAAAGGAGCCAACCAAAACAACGTTCAGACCTTTAGCTACCTTAAACATAAAGCAAATGTACCAAGGTCTGACCCTGTCTTGACATATTGGGAAAGAGGACCAAGTTCAGTTTTAGTCTATACAGAAGTCAAAACAAAAATGGAACGAGCCAAAGAATTTCTCCTCCAACACAGACTGCAGGAAGACAATGTTTTTGGACTGATGAACATACTATTACTATTAGAAAGATAATTATAGGTAAAAAAATAGAGAAACCTGAGAATGGGGGCGGAGGGGGGGGGACACACACAGGCTAAGTAACAAGAGGCCAATGCTGTCAGTCAGACAGGAGGCTTGGGAATACTTTTAGCAGGCAAGAGTTTCAGTAGCAGTCACACATCACTGCAGAGCACAGCAATTTTCAAGAGATGTCTTCATTCAGAGGAGAGATGCCTTAATACAGAGAACACCAATCTTGAGCTTGGTTTCTATTCTTCCTTGTACCATGAGCTCCATGTGTAAAGGGAGAGATAGCCTCCCCGTGACAGTACTTCTCCCCTAAAGCTAAAATAAAACTCCTTTCTTCAAAATAGCATCGGAAAAACTAACACATTTAAGTTTAGGAAGACCTTATGCACTAACCCAACAGGAATCGTTTTATACAGCAATTTGGATTCCAGGCTACTAATGTATCAGCTCCTCAACTAGGAGTCTGAGGGATGATGACTGCAATGCTTGCACATATTTTACACATAGAAAAAAAATCTCCCACATACATTCAGGTTCATTTCTTCGCAGGTTTCACCCTCTGCAGAACACAGGGTGCAGACTAAAGGCTTCTGCAGAATAGAATCTTCTGAGCAGTTTGGGGAAAAGGAGTCTCATAAAGGTATACATCTAAAAATCATTTAAGAAAAACAGAAGTGTAGCAGAGGCTTGTCCTCTCCTTACAGCAATAGTATTATTTTATAATATTTTGTTGTTCTATCTCTGTTTCTATTTTTTTGATTTTTTTTCTTATTAACCCTTGTTCTCTCTTATACGGATATATTTATATATATACACACACAGATTTTGATTATGTATATCTATAAATACACACACACATATTTATGAGTTATATGTATTTATTAATAAGAGTTCATACCACAGCACTTCAAAATGATAAATGAATTTTCTTTTTTCTTTTCTGCATTGTTCATACATAAAAGAATTACATACACTGGTGTAGACTCACCATGATCTACTGTATTTTCTCAAGCAAATCGCAGTTTAAAAAAAACTATTTACCACCAGGGCATTTTTGTATCAAGGTGCAGGAAAATATGCACGTTCACAACATTGCAAGCGCAACTTGACAGTGGTTAAGTTTTGCTTTCAGAACTTTTGATGCGCTTACACTAAACACAAGGCCTTGATGGACATGCCGAAACAAACATGGACCACAACAGCCGATCCAAGATGGCATGTATAAAAGAAAACCTTGGGCTTCATAACTACTAAGTATTAAGCAACACCAGGGGTAAGGGTTCTTTATTTGAGGCAGGGGGACTGGCTATACATATATTAATATACATATATGTATATATATTAATCAGTGTTCTGACACGAGCAGTTGCTAGAGTGCAGCCTGTGCCCAAAGAAAGAGTAAAATAGCTCTGACAAATAAGCTTGGGCTTCTAAATACATGCCTACACAGGCAGGGGAAGACAGACCTGAGGTTTCTCTGTTTATACTCCAGGTAAGCAGATGTGAAGTATTTAGGTCTGGACAGTAAACAGCGTATGAATGTAGCGCTGTGCCTACTAGGGCAGCCCGTGCACCCTCCCTTGGAAGATCTCCACCTGCCACCTTTTCCACCTCTGGCCTCTACCTTAGGAGGTGACAGTGAAGCTGGGAATCATTCAGCAGGCTGATGGCCATCATCCTCAGAAACCTCCACTTCTCCGTTTTGGAGAAACCTCCAAAATTTCAGTGAAGAGAGGCTTGTGGTTGGGAACTCTCACAGATCTGACTGAAGAGGACAACCTAAGCTTTACAGAAAGTTTCGCAGCAAGTCATACACGCTGCGACAAGCAAAACTGATGCAAGAACCATAAGCACAGTGAACATCAGTTACCATAATGAGCATGGGATATAGTTGTCCTTTTCTATATCCTGCAACAAATTTCTCTAAGGGGATCTTTTTTCTTCAACTTGTTTTTTCCATATGTTCATCCTAATGATACTTTTCAAATGATGATACTTTGCTGCTGACCATTTTTTGAGCTACTTAAACAGTTTCCTGTACATTAAGACATTTTAAGAAAAAAAGTTACGTCAAAACAGCATTGTATTAATGCTCAGAAACACAACTCAAAACCATGGCCTTTTTGCATTGTGACATCTTTTCCATAAAAGAAAGGCTACACTGGAAGTAAACCACAAAGTCTATCATACTCTCTGCAAAACAACATAGAGTACAAAGAAACCTAAAGGTCATGGAAACTTCTGAACACTTAACTTAATTGGGAAGCTCTGGAAAACATGAATTGGCCGCATTAGGCAATACTAAGAGGATAAAATGGCAAGAGTCTGAAACATCAGTATACCTACAGAGGAAAACAATATTTACAATTCTTTTCTAACTAGCATTTTTGGGTTTGTTATCATTTTAGAAATCATAAATCAGCAGAACTTCTTAAGACCACCATACTAATACTATCAGTTGAAAATTAAACAATTGACTTGGTTTTGACCTGGGGTTTTAACTTAAGCCTTTTTTCTTTCAATTCTTTTTCCAAAACTTGTTTTCTTCCAATCCCCCCCAAACCACATCTCCTTGAAAAAAATCAAAACACACACACAGAGCACTGACGTAGAAGAAACACAGATAGTGAAGCCCTAAAAGAACAGATTTGCTCAGCACTGCTTACTCAAAAAACATGACTCATAATTTGTATGAGATCCTTTCAAACCCTGTACATCAGTCTGTGTAATTTCAGTCTGAAAGACGATCTTTCTCTATAGTCAGAGAAGGCTCTCCCACGGCCTTTTCCCCCAGCTCTCCTTATCTTATTCCTGAGCTCTCCGCAAATCGTCCTTCCCACCCTTTATTTCAAACTCTCCTGCACAACAGAGGTACCTCCAGTTTCTCTGTTTTCACGTGCTGTATTCTAGCCTCTGTTCCCATTTACGGGCCTCCCCATTAACGCTTTGTCCTATGCATTCTCATTTCCAAAAGAGCTCTGCCCCCTTCCCTCAATCCCTGCTTGGCATTTTATGCTCTGGAGCCAGACCCAGTAACATTCAAGTTACATATCTGGACCATGTGCTCACAACTGGACTCCATGTGAATCATCTCCCCCCAGAAGACACAAAAATCTAAGCCAACATCTCACAGCCAATAACAAAAGTCATCTAGCATCTTGACTGGAACAAAGTTACCAAACTTCTTATTTTCTTTCAACATCCCTGTGACACAGAAACCCACTCTTAGGCCCTGGGTTACTGAAATTAGGTGCTGGTTAATTTAATGATTTCTTGGGCCACTGGGCATGGAAGGACCTCAGCAAGTATTGGGAAAGCATCTCTTTCAC